TTACCGCCGCCAACAGGGGATGTTCTTCATGTTAGTTTCTTAGTTTTAGCAAATTTAATCTTATCTTATTGATTAACACATGTTTAGTGTTTTTTGTCTACTTAGCTGGTTTTACCACACCTGGATCGGTTGCTGTAGTTTTCTATTCAAATGTGTGGCGAGCGACCTAACCTATACCCTGTCAGGGAAAAGAAATCAGGCTTCAGATGTCTGGCGAGCGACCTAACCCATACCCTGTCAGGAAAAAAAATAAGGCAAATATGCCTGGTGGCACTACACTAAGTGGTTGGAGGCACGTACAAACTAAGGACAACTTCCAGCTTTTCCCCTCCCCACCTCTCTAACGACACCACCCTTATTATACGTGGACGATGGTTTCTTGTTTTCATTTTGAAAATTCTGATTAATAATAATTGGTACTGTCCAGCAATAATTATATGATTTCCAAGAAACAAATTATTGTCTACGTAAACATTATTCATTGTAGTTTTTTGAAGTCAGTAAATTGAATCTACAAAAGGTAAAAATAATTACGCCTTTCAAAAAACAGTGCAATCTTTATCATTTTGTTAAAAAGACACGAACAAGGCATAGCACTGTATACAAAATGAAAACTAATATTATTAATAAAATTACAATCACTATTATCAGTAGTAGGGAAAACACACATTTGCTAACCAGTTAAGTACAGAGTTCAAATAACATTTCTCCAGCTACAAACTGCTTCTAATAATTATTTAAATTATTACAGATTAGTTTAGTATAAAGAAAAATAATTTTAATGTACTGAAAACTTTAGTAGTAATAGTAATGTATAATAATAATGATGATGACGTTGATGATGATGATAATAATAATAATAATAATAATAATAATGTAAATTAATATTAATAATAACAATAATAATGAAAAAGAATAACTATTAATAATGGTAATTATTATCTGACAATAACGATATTGTCGATAACAGAAATAGCAATAACAATATGATTAGCAGGAAATGTAACAGTAAATTAATAGTAACGTAACTGTAGAATAATACATAACCTAATAATATTACTAATGGCACTAACATAGGTCGGTCCCTCTGAGGAACTAATCCCCTTTTGGTTTAGCTGTTTTTTTCTTACAGACTGTTGATGTTATCCATCATCCCACCTATGACCACTAAATAGGGTTTCCAGCAGCCCCGACCGGATGTACCGTAGTTTAACGTCATACGCAGGCGTAATTGCATTAACTATTAGACCCATTATTACTTTAGTTTCGCCTATTTCCATCCTAATTGGCTCGACTAATCCATTATTGAAAAATATTTTCAAAATATGCTTTGTGAGGTAGATAGAATGTTTAATGTACGTAGGTCTAATATATTTTTAACGTACATAATTCTAGTGATTCTGCAGTGCAATGGCCTATAAAATACAAAGTAAATATAATAAACAAATTTGCAGGCATAGGCGTAGGCATTCTTTCATTGGACAGGCAACTGATGAATCTTATATATAGCCTATATATATATATATATATATATATATATATATATTAGACAGACGACATAGTTTTAGGAAAATGGAGAATAAAAAATAATGTGAAAATATTCGTTATCTTGTTACATTTAAAATGAAAACGTAGAGGACATTTTGCAGAAAGTGTTTTCCAGATTAGAATACGTTATACCTTCGTAAATAGAAATTTTAGTCGCGCAGTGTAATGATCGTGGTACATGCGGTTCTATGTATCTTATGGTCATCATGCTTCTCATAAACAGTCGTAATTGGAGGTCATTCGTAAATGTATATTAAGTTTTACCATTTATTCAGTCTATATTTTTCCATCTTGACATCATTGGAAATGCCTACTCAAATGTGTTGATTGATTTAACACCAAATATAGGCTATTGTTATTATTGAACAACATACACAATGTATTGACCTATTAGTAGAAAAAATAGACCTTCTTAAAATTATAAATTGTTTAGGGCTAACACCATTAGTTGGTATGGAGTTTAGACTAATTCAATTTTCAGTGTATTCATTTTCTAATTATACAGCCTGTAGACAATTTCTCGTGACATCCTATTCTACTATTATTTGTTGCATTATTTATTGTCCATTAATTATTTACCTCTACTTGCTCATCTTGTCTTGCCTATAATGACGGGTAATTATGCACTCTGCATCGTGAATTTGGATTATTGAAGTAAACAGACTCTCTTTGCACGCCGAAGCCAGATTGATAGAACTATTCTTCGCGTAAAAAACAGAAATAATAAAACATAGTCATTTTTACGTAGATGTTATTGCTTTAATCTTATTAATCTATAAGTACAAACTTTACTCTATGCTATGCCCTATAGGTATTTACAATTTGCCACTTGTGGAACAACAAAAACAAAAGTAAAATACACATTGTATAAGATATTATTTGTTAGTTTTCACCTTTTAGCAAAAAAAGCAAGATTTTTTCAAACATTTTTATGAGGAATAAACAAACATATTACACTTTAAGCGGCTTATGTCCAAGCATTAGCTCCTCTTTTCATTCTACCACAAACCACAACATACAATAATAGGCCTATAACTAAACACTCTTTATACATGTTGGACTAATACATCATAAGATTCAACAGAGATTTATTAACAGTGTTATTTTAATATAATATCACTATATTTAATAACTATAACAACTTTCTGGGATGATTGTGTAATCAATGGGTGCGTTCGTATTTGCGTCATTAGAAACGGGTGGGAACTTGAGTAATAGGGAGATTTCGCAACCTTAAGAAAACGATAACATAACGAATAAATACCTCATCTTCATCAACGTCATTATGTGCCAAAAACATACGAGCTGTAGGCCTATATGATTTATTTAATGTCATTGATCGCCTTCATTGCGACTGATATGCTAATGTTTGAGAAGGACTGTATAAAAAAAACAATGACGTAACCGTATTCGTTATCGTTTTTGTAGGCCTGCAAAGCCTCCCTCTTTATTAAAAAAAAAGACACCTACAATATGAATGCGTTTTCACCTCATGAGGGCCTGCTTTAATCACAAAGTAAAATTATGGTTGTTATCCAAATTAGACTGCCATTGATAACATTCTGTCTACATATCGCTTCCTTCCGGGAATTTGCCAATCGACGTTAAAGGATAATAGGATCCTGGTCACGTGACTCTACATTATAGGATTTATACGTCGAATCAAGCGTAGAAGCTACAGTCGTACATGCGTTCGCTTGTCGTTAACATCGGACTTTATTAAGCTCTTTTACATTCTGCTGAACAAAGTGACAAATTCGTGTCCTAAAGGTTTACTTATTTAAAATGGAAGTCAGACACATAATGTATTTGCTAATCGTTGTTATAGGGCTATCATCGTTTAAAAGTGCTGGTAAGTTACCTGTCACGTTATAGATATATCAATGTCATACGTGCTTAAGTAGGCTCGAAGTAAGTCTAGATATGAGTTTAATTTGTTTGAAGATGGAAAAGGTTAGATTCAACACTGTATCGTATATTATCGGATGTATACATTGTCAACTTATAATTGTCTGCATAAAAAGGAAAGCCCATCTTCAAGCTATATTGATAGCATCTAGACATCAGAATTTTCTTTGTATTGATATCATTAAAATAATAATGATATCAATACCAATAATAATTTTGATCAATAAACAACAACATTAGTAGTAGTGGTAATACTAATAATACTAATACTAATAATAATAATAATAATAATAATAATAACATTAATAATAATAACAATAATATTAATAATGATATTATTATTATTGTATTAGAAGTAGAAGAACAACAAAATTAAAATAAGCTAAAATTTACAATGACTCTGAGTATCATTAACAAATATTGAAAATGAAGTGATTGAAGCATGTTCAGAGTTGTAGGAAACATTAATGCATACTGGGGCTTAAGATGCCACATAAACTATAGATGGTCTAGAAAATCAACATTATATTTTGAATCGTAAAATCTAAAATATTGAATGTTATTGGTCCTTTATTATTTTAACTCTAGAAGTTGAATTAACATTGAGTTGAGGAATCTCGAAACAACGATTTTTTCCAAGTACTTATGATCGTACTTAGTATTCAGTAGATCACGTTAATTAGCACAAAAAAATCACCCAATGATATTTTCCTGACGCAAACAAACATCGAAATAACATTGCAATATACGCTGCTACTTGGGAATCGGATTCAACGCTAGTCACGAAGTATAAGTGATTAACACGTCCAAGCTAGTCATCTGGAGGTCGTGGGTTCGATTTCCAACGCAAGCACTTTTAGAAATAAAAATCTAACATAGTTAGCAATAGCAAGTAATTCTAAAAAAACATTTCCCTTTGGCCCAAATCGTCATTCAGTTGATTTGTGTACTGAAATAGAATAATAACAATCCTATTGAGGAGTAAAATCCTTTAATTGGAAACCACGGGGACTTAGCAATGATATCAAATGTTATTAAAATGATTAACTCGTCTATTGATATGTAAACTAAAAAAAGAACCTTTTGGGAAAGAGCACATAGTACGCAAACAAAAATGTTCATGTTCACTTTTATAGCGCCTTCCACAGTAAAAACCGTCTAGTGTCGTCATCAAAAGGCCACCGTGTACCAGGGGGAGGGGTGGCGTTAGGATTTCCCCATGGGGGTCCGAGGTTCCCAAAGAGAAAATGTCATCGACGAGAGCAAAGAAGGCATGGTCCAGAAAATGGTCAAAGTGGTGAAGCCTCTCGAACATTTTGACAATTTAGGGGTATTAAATGCTTAGTTAATCGACTTTAGAGTCTACTAATATGTACAAAATATATATATTTTTCTTTCCCCCAAACGAATTGTAGTTTTTCTCCCCGCACGGGGGGACTGGCACCCGGCCTCCGCTTTCGCCACCACTGCCGTGTACAGGCAGGGCTTACCATGGCGTCAGTATGCTGGGCTCCGGTATAGCTTACACCGAGCATATATGCGCCCAACGTTTTACTTTATTGTATCCACATTCTCTTCTTATGTTTAAAGAAATATATATGTGTAGCGCATATATAGCGGCCACATGTTTAAACTTTAATCCACGGAGCAGCAGACAGATTATGTTTACTTATGTGCAACGCTTAGCCCCTAGTGTTAAATGCTGCTCTACTTTAATTGGCCTTAAATGTACTTTAAGGCCAAAGTAGTGGAGTAGCTCAGTGGTTAAGATGCTTGCCTTCTGATCTTAGGGTCCTGGGTTCAATTCCTGTCACAGCAGGACTTTTTTTCACGACCAAAACCAGCTCCACCCCCTAAAACCTCATAAAGAGACTTAGTTTATAAAGCATCTCATCCTGTTAGTGGCAAGTATACTTGCAAGTGGCAAGTGTACATTTATTGGATGTGAGAAAAAAAAAAGAAATAAAAATTATTGGTGCATCGTTTGCCCCATACCCACTTAATGGTCCTGTAGAACTTAACACCTTCGTGCTAAGGGGTCGTTCACAATTTTCAATATTTCACCGGTATACAAACAGTACTCTTTTTCGGTATCCCCTCCTTCCCCTCTGAAAATGTACAAAAAATGTTGATTATGCAAAATCATTCTACATTATTTTTGTGAAGTCAACTAAAGCAATGTACTTGGTTGCTTAAAAATGAATAATTATACCCATGGTTACATTGTATTTTTACCATTATTTATATTGCATGTTATTTTGTATTAACATTTTATGCATAGGCCCATGTAAAAGTGCTATGTCTACCACTCCCCCTAGCGCACTGTTTGTGCACTTGTGTTGAAATTGAAAGGCCTAATGTTGAACGACACCTAAGTTATAAAACTTAAAAAATATCGGGTTTTGCTAGCAAACACAAGTTTTGCACAACAACGCTCACCTTTCTTGTTTTGCTTTAATTTCTGCCTCTGGTACGAAAGCGTAAAGTGACCTTCCAGATATCTAGATAATTATCTCGTCATGTCTACATCCTGTAAGAAAGAAGATCAAATGTTGCGATTCTGTCTACATTCTTTACAAGAGATGACGGGATCTTAGACCTCGTCATGTCTAAATCATTTAGAAAAGAAAATTAGATTACGAGATCCTTCATTTTATGTCTACATCCTTTAGAAGAGATGATCAGATGACCAGATCATGAATCTCCTCGTGTCTACATCCTTTAGAAGAGATGATTAGATGACAAGATCCTGAATCTTGTCATGTCCTCATCCTTTAGAAGAGATGATTAGATTACGAGATCATGGATCTTATCATGTGTACATCCTTTAGAAGAGATGATTAGATGACGAGATCCTGGATCTCTTCATGTGTACAGGCTTTAGAAGAGATGATTAGATGACAAGATCCTGAATCTCGTCATGTCCTCATCCTTTAGAAGAGATGATTAGATTACGAGATCCTGGATCTTATCATGTGTACATCCTTTAGAAGAGATGATTAGATGACGAGATCCTGAATCTCGTCATGTACATCCTTTAGAAGAGATGATTAGTTGACGAGATCCTGGATCTTGTCATCTGTACATACTTTAGAAGAGATGATCAGATGACAAGATCCAGGATCTCGTCATCTTATTATCTATTATACATGATTTAGACATGTTGAAATCATGGATCTAGTCATGTGTACATCCTTCAGAAGAGATGATCTGATGAAGAGATCCTGGATCTCGTCATGTGTACATCCTTTAGAAGAGATGATCAGATGACAAGATCCTGGATCTCGTCAAGTATACATCATTTAGAAGAGATGATCGGATGACAAGATCCTGGATCTCGTCATGTGTACGTCCTTTTGAAAAGATGATTAGATGATGGGATCCTGGATCCCGTCATGTGTACATCCTTTAGAAGAGATGATTAGATGACGAGATTTGGATCTCGTCATGTGTACATTCTTTAGATGAGATGATTAGATGACGAGATCATGGATCTCGTCATGTGTACATCCTTTAGGAGAGATGATTAGATGACGAGATCCTGGATATCGTCATATGTACGTCCTTTAGAAGAGAGGATTAGATGACGAGATCCTGGATCTCGTCATATGTACATCCTTTATAAGAGATGATTAGATGAAGAGATCTTGGATCTCGTTATGTGTACATCCTTTAGAAGAGATGATTAGATGACAAGATCCTGGATCTCGTTATGTGTACATCATTTAGAAAAAATGAACAGATGACAAGATCCTGGATCTCGTCACCTGAACATCTGGAAGGTGACTATAAGCTTCCGTACTCTGGCGCGTGTCTTACGTGCTTCGGTTATTTGTTTATTTATTTATTTATTTTGAACTAGAACGATGCGGACAGAAATATCGTCAGGCAGTTACTCTAAGTTGTTATCATTTTTCCTTTAATTCCGGCCAGCCTTGTCGTGTGCCAAGTAACGCCAAACACTGTTTTGCTTGTTTATACTTCCTTGGGTACCGGTTTAGGGTTGGGTTCATACTAGAAACTTGAGGGCAAAAATAAAGTTAACCCAACATTGCAGCAACTTTTGTGACGTAGTCTTCACGAATAAGGACAAACTATAAACCGTAGGTCAAGGGTACACAGTTGGCTCATGTTTACTATAAACAACCAAAGGGAGTTACCCCGATGTATTGTTCCACACAGCCCCTGTTCAAAATGTACAACCAAATTACAGGCTGACGTTCTTTTTTAACAGTGATTGTCTCCTGTGTTTTTGGGGGCACTATTGCTCTAAATTAAAATCATTGGCCTACATACGGTACGCAAACTGTTGCAGCTACTAGCTGCACTTAAAAGCTTTATTCAAAATAGACGCTTTAAACGAAACTTTATTACAAACAGTTCTGAGGAATGTGAGGCTGTTATAACTTCGGCATGATATACAAAAAACACATAAAATGAAGTAGACAAAGGCAGGTTAGCGGCATGCCCAGACAGAAATACATAAGGTCTACTTGCTATTATTTGTGAAGGTATAATTTATATTCTGACAAAATGTAATCAGTTGGTGCACATATGCATCTCGATAAATAGAAAAAAAGAATTTAAAAAAAAATATATAAAAACAGACATTTTTTTAGCTTAAAAGCTAGCATCAAAACTTGCTCAAAACGTAACTTATACCTTTAATGCATTGCCGTTTGACATACGACTAGTTTGCCAATACTAAGTATATCATTTTTATTTTTTTACGTGCCAATATATAATAAGAATTTCTAATAGTATAACTATCACATTTTTTTCCCAAAAATTGTGGACAGACTATATTTATTATGAATATTAAATAAGATTACACAAAAACATAAATTATTTTATCGAATTCATCACGTGCCGTCAAACATCGAATAATGATTGTGGTTTTGCTGTTTGTGTCTCAGCTTTATCTGTTTCATTTTTTGACATTTA